TCCCTCAGGTTGGGGTAGAAATATGACAAATCTTCTGGTTTCTGAAGCATTATGGAGACATGTACATTTTGGAACTGGTCTACATGGGTTGGAATCCTGGCTCCAGTTGGAAAAACCTTAGCAAAATGCTATAAAATGAACATAATAGCAGTATATTTCTCAAAGAATGGAAACATCTTATGAGTAGCACTTAAAACACTTAGAAATGTGAGTGCCACATACCCAACAAACATTAGGCTTTGCTATTTTACTATTCAGCCTCCCAACATATGATATAAGATTGATTCTTAGTAGATCTGAGTAAATAAATGAACTACAAGTAGACTATTTCAGCTGGAGTACTGATCTGTATTTGAGGTTAGTAGAGAAAGTAAGTGAGAAGATGAAGAACTATCTAAACCAATCTATCAGAAAATGGGTTCTGTATCTAAGAAAAATATAATCTTTGCTCTAGAGGAACTTAATATCTAGAGGAAATAAAACATAGCAGTAAAATTTTCCAAAATTCTCTAAAAAATAGAGAATAAGTGTTTTTTTTTTTTAAAAATAGAAACAAGAGAGAGACTTTAAGTATTTACACTGTGCAGAGATAAAGGGTTAAGAACATTGATTTTAGGGGCCTCCCTGATGGCGCAAGGAGTTAAGACACAGCACTGTGAAGTTAAGACACAGCACTGTGATAGCTCCCTGGCCAGGGAGCTATCCACATGGCAGAGCAGACATCTCCTGTCTTGTCTGCTGCTCCCTTCAGCAGTGTATTTCAGTCAATCTGCTTGTTCTGCTCCCCACTATGTCTCTGGTGAATCTTCTCACCGCCCACACCTCTGGCGTATACCCCAGTTCTTGTACGCATGGAATGGATAAATAAATCTTAGAAAAAAAGAACACTGATTTTAAGGCTTTCAGTGAAACATTACTAAATGAAAAAATCATGATCAAATAGTGTATATCATTTATATACATGTTACTGGATATTATTTTGATGTATTTATCATAATTAGTTCTACTTTTTTCAATAATTTTAAAATTTCAATCATTTTTCTTTATCTCAAGTTCCTCCAATTGAAACTCCACATGTATTGCAAGGGAATGATTATCTTAGAACCTGAAAGGAAAAAGAGAGCTCAAGTCTTGGCTTATGACTCCTAAACAAGATTTTTGAACTCATGGCAAAGACAATACATTAAGAGAAAGTAACTAATTTTTATATATTTAGTATAAAAAAATCTGAGGTCAAAATAACTCTCAATACATATAATTTATGTCATTAATAATAGTTTTAGAAGAGCATAAAATCCATTAGAATCAGTTTTCCTTGCCTCCATTAAAAAGACAAAACATTCCGTAGAGTTAGAAGAGAGTTGCTGAGCTGGACTGTTGGGATGTCACTTTGGGGATTTGTACATCCTTGTCCTCATATAGGTCCTACAGGGGAGAACTAGGGATTCACAGATACTTCATGTAGATCAGGAGACCTAAAATTAGAAAGATTCAGAGCTTTAATTTCTGAGAATAGACCCCAAAACCCACAAGACTCAAGGAAATCCAGACAGGTGAAAATGTAGTAATACTAAAAGGTCTCCACCTGTGTGCAGACAGCAGGCCAAGGGGGGGGCCTATAATCCCCACAAATACTTTAGAGCACAAGAATGGTTATTTGTGTGGCTTATTGTGGCTCAGATGTAGCCCAGAAAATTGGCAAATTCAAAGTGGACTTTTAGTTAGAGTCTACCAGAACCTGATGACCAGAAGTCAGACTGGAAACCAGATATCTCAGCAGGTGCCACTGTGTATGAAGATGACAGTTAGATGAGACTAGATGCTTAGACTCCACATAGACACACTCTTACAAGGGCACACCCTCCAGAACTCAAGTTAACTTCAGGGAGGACAGAAGAAAGAGAAGACAGTGTTAGCCTGGAAATGACTGAGAGAACACTTAACTGACAGATAATAAATTTCTATCACCCAGTAAAATGGTGGCTGAAATAGAAATTAAATTCACTAATAGAGACAAAAGAAAGTTACATTTCTTTTGCTCTATGTTTTTTAGCATGAGATTTACACCCGATTTATATATCCCCCCCCCAATTTAATCATCACAGCAACCCTGTAGAGTGGGATTATGACCATTCCATTTTATAAATAAGAATGTGTCAAGGTAGAGAAAAAATATCCCCGCACCTCTCTGGGTTATTCTTGGCTGATCAAGCAATCACATTAACATCAGGTAGATTAGTAGGGGAAAAAGAACAAATTTAATTACCTACATATGGAGATACGGAGAACCTGCATAGATGTGAATTCTGATACCAGTGAGGGAAATGATGGTATGTATCTTGAGTTAAGATAGGGAAATGGGGTTCACATGATGAGAAGAGGCTGACCCATGTGACAAAGACCAGATGTTCTGTAACTACATGTTTTTACCTGCCATATAGATAGACTGCTCTGATAAAAAAAAGATTTTTTTTTCTGGTAAAAATCCAATTCTGGATAATATCTCTCAATTTTCATTCTTCAGGGAAGAATGAAAGGTTAAGGGAGTGTTAAGGTTTAGGGAGTGGTAAAAGTGTCTTCCAAGGCTGCAGGGCCTCAATTAACCTGAGCTTAAATAATCCACATGCCCAAAGTTACACAACTTGGAAAGACCTGTTCTGAACATCTATCTACCCTTCAGATGTAAAGGATGGAAAACATTAAGTAACTACTCAAGGATGCTTAGCCATTGAGTGGTGGAATAGAAATTTGACTCACACTTTTCTGATTTCATGTCATCACTCATTTATAAATGTTATATACCTGCCATATGTCATGATCCCTTAGTGAAGAAGACAGATATGATTCTTATCTTCATGGAACTTGCAGGCCAAGTAAGGGAGACACAATTTAAAATGATAATGGATATCATCTGGTACACTCTTGCCAACTGAAATCTAGATATCTTGCTTCTAATTTGTAGTCCATATATTTTGAAAGCCCACATCCTTTTACAGGATTTTAAAGAACTCACAGGATACTAACATTCTCAGTGTTGTTCTGTCTATGACCATCTGTTATAACACAAATCATTTCAATTCTTCACTCAGGTCAAATTGGACATAATACCAATAATCATCATATGTGATTAAGAATACTTGGGCAAACTTACAGTAGCAGGAACTTCCTTAGCCTGAAAAAAAAAAAAAACACATCTGTGGAAAACCTACAACTAATAGCATACTTAGTGGGGAAAAAACTGAAAATTTTCCCCTTAAACTCAAGAACAAAGCAAGGAAAACTTTCATCATTTTTATTCAATATTTTACTTATATGATGCAATAATGCAGGAAAAAGAAAGCAAAGGTCTTCAAATTACAAAGGAAAAAGTAAAACTTTCTTTGCATATGGCATGGTCTTTCACATAGAAAATTCCAGGGAATCTACTGAAAAGCTATTTTAACTAGTAAGTGGACTTAGCAATGCTCAAATTGCATGTTAACAATGAAATTGTTTTAAAAACTAAAATATCATCTGTAAGCATTAGCAAATATTTAGAAAAATATTAACAAAATATATGCAAGACCTATACATTAAAAACCATAAAACAGTGCTGACAGAAATTGAAGAAGACCTAAATAAATGGAGAGATACACTGCATTCATAGACTGGAAGACTCAATATTGTTGCAATATCATTCTCCCCAAATTAGTCTATTGTTCAACACAATTTCAACAAAAATCCCTGAAGTTTTTTTCATAAAGGTTAGCTAGCTGATTCTAAAACTTTTATGGAACGCATAGGATCAAAATAACCAAAAAGATTTTGAAAAAAGAATAAAGTTTGAAGAGACACGCATAATTTAAAGACTTACTGTGAAACTATACTAACACAAGTATGGCTTAAAAATAAATATATAGACAAATGAAATAGAATAAACTCACACATGTCATCAATTTTTTACAAAGATGCAACAGCAATTCAGTGGAGAAAGGACAGTCTTTTACTAAGTGATTCTAGAACAGTGGGGGTATTCATATGCGAAAGACAAACTTTTGCCATTACCACACATCTTATATAATAAATCAATTAAAAATTCTAAACCTAAATATAAGAGCTACTGTGATAAAACTCTTAGAAAAAAAGCTTTGTGACCTTCAGCCAGGCAAAGATTTTTTTAGATATGATCGAAAAAAGAAAGCACAAATCATAAAAATGTTGGTAAATTGGGCTTTATCAAAACTGAAATTTTCTGCTCTTCAAAAGGTACTGTTAAAATAAAAATAAAATTTATTATTTAATAAAAAAAGGTACTGTTAAAGAAGTAAAAAGACAAGCTACATACTGGAAGAAAATATTTATAAAATGCGCAGCTAATAGAGGACTCATATCCAGAAATTTCCAGTTAAATGGGTGATAGTCTTGCATAGACCCTTCACCAGAAAAGAACTGCAGATGGCAAATAAGCACATGAAAAAATGTTCAGCAATATTAGTCATCAGGGAAATACAAATTAAAACCTCATTATATCCTGCTGCATAGTCACATGAAAAATTAGGTGGAAAAGAAATTCTACATTTTACTCTGTTGGAAAATGTCTACCTTCACTCTGCCAAAGCCTCTTCAAGAAGTTGGAGTCTGTTGAACAATAATTCTTATTTACTGTGCAGAACCCTGGGGTGAGAAACAAAGGGACATCTGGAGAAGTTCACAGACTGAGTGGCTGTCATATTTGTGAGTTGCAGGAAGGAGTAAAAGATAATGGCCTTACCCTGCCTTCATTCTTTTAGGATAAGAAATTAGGTCCTTACATCATCCCAAACACAGATAGCTTTGGCTAAATAAGCTCTGAAAGATTAAGGGATTACTTTGAAGTTATGAACATTATTTCTCCTTTATTAATTAAGATTGCTCGGAACCAACCTCCTTTAGTTAACTGAAAATGTTAGAAATTAACTAGACTTCTTCTTTCCTTTGTTAATAAAAAATAGTTATGTATTCTTTTTTTTTTTTAAACTTGCACCAAAATGACTTTTATTTGTATTTGCTGTATCATAAACAAAAACGGAATTTGTGGCAGGCTCTTGGTAATTTGTCCAGACATGAAAGAAGGTTTAAAAAATTAGGAAATGCTCTTTTGAAAATGGTCTTCTGTCACCAATTCAAGATAGGTGTTCAGCAAAATCCAATACTGCTCCCTCAGTATTTTATAAATGGAATTTTCTTCTACTTGTATCCATTTCTCGGGGCTTATGGACTCATTCATATTCTCCATATTTAGAATCAAAGGTTCCTTTCTGAAGAGATCTTAATTTTAAGGTAAAACGTGGTCCAAGTTCCTGAATTCCCACTTTCTTTTCACTCTTGAATATGTATCTGTGAAACCGGAAGAAGATATAATCTCGTTGATTGTGGAATGTGGCAACCTGCCTTCCAACAAACTGAGGATTATGGGGAAAGAGCGATGCAAACATACGTTCAACAGAATGACCCAGCCGCGTTGTAAAATTATTTAGAATTATTTCAGGTATATGTTCTGTGGGGTCTTTGCCTCTTCTCTTAATTTCCTTACGTAGACGAACACTGCTCATTTTAAAATGTGCAGTTGGGCCATTTGGCAAGTGACTCAAAATTAACCCATTTGGTACTTTACGATCTTCATTAATAACCATTAAATCTGTAAAATCTCTGGAAATACATTGTGGAATAATTTTTTTCAGAGCAAGTCCTCTTCTATAATAAACATGTGCATTTGGTATAACTGTAGAGAGCTGTTCACAGAGTCGCACAGTTCTCCCATCAGGTCTATCAGATGTTGTAATGAGAATCTTGGGAGAAGTCTGTCTATTGAAGTAAGATGAAAATTCATCTGTAGCTTCATCATATGCAACCTCTTCATCATTAGGGTCTACTATGGTTTCATCAGGCACTCGCTGGTTGTCAATGGTCTTGGGTGTAGGTTTTGGTGGAGCCTTATCACCAAGAGCCTCTCTTTCCTTTTTAAGCTTTTTCTTAGCGACTGCAGCCTCCTGGGGCTCTTCATTAATGGCTTTTCGTTTCAGGCCTTTCTTCCCGCTGCCTACACTTTTATCAGCGGCCTTCGCCATGTTTGCTTCCTCAGTAGGGAAACGGAAGCGGCTGCCTCTAGTTATGTATTCTTTTTGTGTATGTTATTTACCTCTATAGGGAGGCCAAAATCCCAAGGAAGGAGACCAATGTCTCAGAGAAATCTGAAACTAGTCTTCTGAGTATAGGTGTGTTTGATCTGAATAACCTCTTTAATGAACTTCTCTTTTACAATGCATTTGCATCACAGCAAGTGATCATTTCAGTCAACAGTTAAAATTAAAAACTCTTAACAATGTGAAGCATTGATGAGGATCTGGAGTAACTATAATCCTCATACATTTCTGATGCGAATGCAAAAGGGACAGTTTCCATGGGTAATTTCTAATAAATTGCCGAATATACCATATAATCCACACTTAGCTATTAACCAAGAGAAATAAAAATACATATGTCTATAGAAAAGCTTTCATGCAAATGTTCAGAACAGCTTTATTCATAATCGCCAATGTCTGAAAACAATCCAAACACACATCAGTAGATTAACAGATAAATTATGACATATGTATACAATAAAATATTACTCAGCAATAAAATAACAAACCATAGATACATGCTACAACACAGATGAATCTCAAAAGCATTATGTGTAGTGAAATAAATCAGACACAAAAGACTATCTACTCTCACTCTGTTTATATGACACCTGGAAAAGGCAAAACAGGAACAGAAGACAGTTCAGGGACTGAGGATTGAGGAAAAGATTTGAATGCAGACGGGCACAGGGAAATGTGGAGTGATAGAAATGTTCTTGATGTTGATTGTGATTGTGCTTGCATGACTGAATCAATTTGTCAGAACTCATTGAGCTGATCACTTAAAAGTAGTGAATTTATTCTATGTAAGTTAAACTTGAATCAGTTTTCTATTGCTATAAAAAATCACCACAAACTTAGCAGCTTAAAAGACCCATGATCTGTCAAATTGAAGCAAAACTGAAGAAAAACAGTGGTTTACTTGGTGTGCTAGGAATTGCAATTTGGGGGAATACAGGGTCAGTGTAAAACTGAACTATGCACCTCAAATGGCCCTGGAGGTGTACAGTATTTATAGGCTCCACAGGCAGTCTTCCAAAATTGTTTTGAGCAGTTATAATTGATGGTGACTCAAAGGAGTAACTGTCTTTGTATGGTTGACCCATTGCTTAGTCTCTCAAGACTGTTACTGAAACTGCAGTGCCTGCCAGCCTTCCAGGATATTTATTTGTAGTTAGGATCTCTGAGACCACATCTGGGTAGAGGGGTGTGTAAGTTACACTTCTTTTATGGCCCCTCTGGCTCCATCATAGAGTCCCTTGACATTTGTAACTACATTTTGTCTTCTTATTTCCACAGAGTTCACAGTTCTGTAAGTCACATAACCAGTTTGCTGTGGCTGAGTTCACAGTGTGGAGTATCACAAGGCTGAATCCAAGGCGTGAGCCAATCTGGGTTCTTGTCTGGCTATTGTGGAGAAAAATTTGCTTCTGAGCTCATTCTTGTCATTGACAGAATTTAAATTCCTTGCAACTGAGGCCCCCATTCCTTTGTCAGCTGGATGAGCTCTCAATTCCTAAAGGACACCTATACTTCTTGCCACACGCTTCTTCCATCTTCAAGGCAGCAATAGCATGTTGAACCTCAGATTTCCTCCTCAGCAACCAGCCAGAGATAACTCTGCCTTTAAAGGGCTCACATGAAGATGTTAGACTCACCTAGATAATCTTCCTTTTTAATTTTTATTTATTTTTAAAAAAGATTTATTTATTTATACAAGAACTGGGATACAGGTCAGAGGCATGGGAGGGTGAGAGAATTTACCAGAGACAGAGCGGGAAGCAGAACAGGTAGACGGACCAAAGACACTGCTGAGGGGAGCAGCAGGCGCGACAGGAGAGGTCTGCAGTGCCATGTGGGAATCTCCCTGGCTGGCCGGGAATCGAACTCCCACAGCAGAGGCTGTGGACAGCTTCACAGCGCAGTGTTCAACCCACTGTGCCCCTGGGGAGGCCCAATCTCCCTTTTTTAAAGTTGACTGTGACATATAATATAACATGATTACAAGAGTAAATTCTACTATATACACAGTCCAGGGGTTCACCCATATATGCATAGTTTGGGGGCAATAATTCTGGGGGACCATCACAGAACTGTGCCAGCTGTGATGCTTGAATAATTCTTTCTTTTAAAATTAAATTCTATGTAATTATACATTTTAAATTTTTCCTTTTGAAAAGTATAAAATTATTTATTTCTGGAGACTGTCCCAGAAAATTGAGAATGTATTGTTGCCATGTGATTGAGTTACTTTCCTGCTACATATGTTAGGATAGGACAGAAGGGGACCAAGCTAACATATTTTGAATGCCTATGATGTGTCAGACACATGCTAGACATTTTACATAAATAAAACATCAAAGGGTCTCTGATTCAAAGAAATTGATGGGAATGAGGGTAGAGGGGGATGGAAGGCAGACAAAAATTTCCAATGCATAGAGTTGAGAAAGAGAAAATATCAGAATGCGAAGCTGAGTCATTCTGGGATTCTGTCCCCAACAAGGCAGAGAGGAAAGGAAACAAGTGAAGGGGTGATAGTGATAAACTACAAGTAGCCCCTACTTAGGTTCCCACATGGTAGAGCTTCCAAACTGGAGTGTCTGGAATGGGTTATAGGTGTCAGGAGCCAGGGGAAGTCAGAGTGCCTGCCTCTGTTTACCCCCTGGGAGCTATATCAATGTCATCACTGAAAAAATGTGATCAGGTAAAAAAAATTTTTTTTGAAAATTACTGGCCTGGGGTATGAGACAAAGCTCCTGCAGAAGTGAGGAAGTACAGAAAGGACCTAGATAGAACGCAACCATGCTCCCTAAGGAATGGTCCTGAGGGAAGGATCTGCTCTTCAATCCCTCATCTTTTCTAGGCTATAAAACTGCACGAAAATCTGGGATTTAGACATTGGAGGACGGAGCACTATTGATAGGCTCCCCTGCTGCATATTACCAAGGAAGGAATATGATATAATAGGGACTGTGACCAGACTTGGGAGTAGATTGAGGAGTGGGCTGGCCAGCAAGCTTCCTACAAGTGTCACAGTAAGCCCTGCCCAGTCCTGAGCTAAGCCCAACAAAGTGAGGTGCTTTGATGGAAGGGGTAAGGGTTCTGGAGTGAGGCTGTTTTGAGGTCCTGACCTCACCACTTACCAACCTAAAGCCCTTATGCAAAACGATTCAACTTTTCTGACCCTCATTGTCCACATCTGTAGAATCTGGGGGGATGGTGGTAATCTTATGCCCTTGGTTGGCAAATAGGACATGAAGATGCTGCCTGCATAATACCTGGAAAGTGCTATACACTCAGTAAATTGGAGTTTGGGTACAATTATGGAGACATCTGGCATTTTGTTGGCTGAGGGTGTGATACCTATCTTTGGAGATGGGGAAACCACATACCTGTTCCTGCAGGGTTGACCCCATCTGGACTTGAGTTTCTATTTCTAATTTCCTATCTCACGCTTGCTTGCTCTCTTTCCTCTTCACTTGAATCCCATTCCCAGCCTTTGTGCTTGCTCATACTGGTGTGCTTCTCCCAATAAGACATTACTCAGAACCACAAGGATTCTACACCTTGATCCAGTTCCATTGTTGGCTTAAAGCCCTCATTTCCAGGGCTAGAAATTTCCATGTCCTTTGAGACTCTTATTGGTTCTACTTGTAAAGTTGTTATCTACTCAGCCCATTCACTGCCAGTTCTATCCTCAGCTTTCTAGTATAGGCTACCATTATCTTTTTCCTGGATTATTCTGATACCCCCTCCTAACTGACCTTCTTTATTTCACTCTTGCCTCTTTAATCCATTATCCATAGAGCAGGTACAGCTACTTAAAACACACATGTGCACACCTACATAAACACACACTATAAATTGTTGATTAAATTCTTCTATTGCTTCTCCTGTTTTTTTTTTAATGATTTATTTATTTGTGCATACAAGAACTGGGATATAAGCCAGAGGTGCAGGGGTTGAGAGGATTCACCAGAGACAGAGTGGAGAGCAGAACATGCAGATCTACTGAAATACACTGCTGAGGGGAGCAGTGGGGGAGACAAGAGAGGTCTGCTGTGCCATGTGGGTTAGCTCCCTGGCTGGGGATCAAACTCATGTTGCAGTGGCTGGGGATAGCTTGATAGTGCTGTATCTTTAACCCCTGCACCACCAGGGAGGCCCATCTCCTGATCTTTTAATAAACTCCAACTTCCCATTAAGGTGACATGTCCAATGATGACTTATAACAGAAGTGTCTCCATAAAAGGGTGCCTGCTCCTTTTCGCCAGCAATTCCTGGCTGTGGTTAACCACAGTTAACCAGACAGCCTGCAGTCCCATACATGGTAGAGATTTGAACTCAGTCCCAAGGGACCCATGAAGCAGATTAGCCCTAGAATTGGGCTCTGTTGTTTCCCGGATATTCTAGTACATTCCAGTCACCCTTGTCTCTGGCTTCCAGCAACAGCAAACTCATAAAGGGCTCTTTTACCATGAATTGTATGTAGTGTCTCCAGGCTATTTAAGCAAGGCCTAGAACTGGCTGGATTTCAAAGATGAAACCATTCTGGTATTTATAGCTTTAGTGAGGGTTTTGGGTCTTTTGGGTGGAAAACACTGGGAAAACTTTGGCTCTTGCTGCTCAGTTCTTTATGACATTCTTGCATATAAAGTGCAGTTTAATAGCCTTTCTGACTGCAGTCCTTGTAAAGAAGGTTACAACTTGTCTCTATAGGCAACATGTAGCAACTCCTTCTTCTGTGTACTCTCATGGTCAGGATGCATGGACCACACTGTGATTCTCAAGACTCGTGCTTTTTGCTTCTCATTTTTCAAGAAATAGACAAATTCCTGGTTAAGTGGAAGAATGTGGAGCTCAGAAAGACAAGAGTAGAATTTATGAAATTGCCATTATTTCCTTCCTCTTTCCTGTTAGGTTGTTTTGGAAAAATCGCACCACCATTAGGAACACA